TTTGTTTTTATTGGATGGCTGCAAGTCGATTAGACTGGTAAAGCAAAAAAGAAGCACTGAGAAGAATCAGTCCACCAGTGTTTCAAGTTCATTGACTAATTTCCCGTTATTTGCTATAGCTAAATGCAATTTTGCACGCCATCACCTCATAACATCAAACCATTCCTCTCATCATTATATTTTTATTGCATTTTTGACTCGGTTCTAATGTCCAAACACTTCACAATATTCTGGATTTTGAATTAACTCATTTGGTAGAATAAACGTCGAAATTGCCGAATTGGCATCAAAACAATGTGATTAATTGTGTTTGTTTGGTAACATGGTGGCATGGTGCTCAACCCAATGCATTAGTTGATCTAAGCAGTGTCCTAGTACACGCATCACGACCCCCTAGCACAAATGTAATTTTACCAAAACACCCTCGCAGACGACTCCAATCCCGGTGCCAACTCGATCAATTTGTGTGATGACCTGCACCTGACCTACCAACCATTCTGTGATCACACGCGATATAAAAACCTGCGTATCTTTAATGAAAGTGTCGATTTTATTTCAGGTAGTTAGCACTCCATCTGGTCAAATGCTCAACGCACGTTTGTGAACTTCTTTGTATTAAGGGGAGGCTTAAGGACTTTCTTCCAGATAATTTATTGTATCGTTGCAATGTCCGTAGTTGAAATTTTGTGGTTTAGGTGAATTAAGGTTTGAGGCAATTTTATAAATAAATTCTGTCATGAAGTCATTATTTGTATATGCTGATCATAAGGATATTTGGAAACCCAACATAATTACCATTTTAATTTTAAAATGAACTTATGTTTGGACTAATTCTGCTGTATTAGTGGGTGAATAAAGATTAGTTTGATTGCGTAAACCAATAGAAAAACCAAATTCTAGACGCAGAATTGTTGGGAATGTGAGTTCATCATAGTAATCGAGCATTTATTTGGGAAGCTATTACGTGTCTTGATCCTTTATCTCAGGCTAATTTCGAGTTTTGTTATTTTCTTGGAATGTGCAGTGCGTTGTTCGCATTTCTGAACGATGAAAACTTTACACCGACAATATAAAACCCTATCTTTCCCCAATCTTATTTAACACGCTTCCACAGGTTAGGTTCATATTTCAAACCATTTCTTGGACTTACAAGGCGTTTCCCTTGAGTCTCCACATTGCGATATTAATTGCCACCTCGAGAACTACCCGAAGTTCTCCTCAAACCGCGCTGTGGCTTTGAGGATGATTAATTAGCGGCATGGCTGTCTAAAGTTGGTAGGGCCTGTCAATTGAGGTGATATTGAATTTAAGTTAACGTTAACAACGTCCTTATTGGATTAATCAGTGTTCATCACAGTTGAACTGAGCCTCCAGAAGTTAAAACGTTACTGAACACTCAATGCACTCCGATTAAATCATTTGGAAACGATCCTGAAAGGTAAAGAAATATAAAGCTATCTTTGATAAATAATCCTTAAACATTGAGTTTTACAGGCTCAGCTTGGTATCGTGTAAAACTCGTATCACTATTTTGCAGTTTGGATTGAACATTAAATAATAAAGTTACCTTAATAAAATATTGTTCCAAAGCATCACGTTTTCTCCGATTATCCTCCAGTTTACTAAATAGATTACTGCTTGCTACTGAATTTGATTTTAATTTAATCAGGGGACATTTTACCTCCAGCAGTTATGCAAACTGAGCGCGCAGTAGTTCTGTTGGCTTTCAAACCCGAAAGTCTCTAAGGCATGGGAGTTGTGAGCCTGAGATCGAATACTAAAACCGCTTTGGTTTTACTAGGGTTGTAGAGGCATTAAACGGCACGTAGGTTCCAGCAAAGAAAGTAGAAAAGAGTTACTATCCACAAGACCTAGTGTTTTTGCGTTGATGTATGCGTAGAAGGTGTAAACTTGTGTGCGAGGGTGCAACGTGTCCCTCTGAACGAACATCGTGAGGTAAAGTGCCCTCAAGATGATATGTTAAATCCGTGACCACTCTCATGCTTGCTAATAATGTTCGCTAGCTGACAGCCACTTATGCGACTGTCACACAGCCGATAAGAGTCGTTTTGTGAGGCGTTAAACTAAGGTGAAAATATTGAACTTAAAACTAACTCACAAACCTTCCGTGAACACCTTAGTCGAGGGACCTGATTTTTATTTGGATAGCTTTATACTCTTCATGAGGCAAATTTCACAAATAACCCAATCTGTTGTTGCATAAAAGCAAGGTTAGGTACGAAGAACAGAAGGGTCTGGCTTAAAGAAATTCAGAAGGAATGCTTTTTTGTTGAAAAGACTAGGAATTATGAGTGGGAATTCCAGGTAAAAGGCGGTGAATGCTAAGTTAAAAGAGGCCCTTAATCGGAGCCAGTCCTTAAGCACAACCACGATGGAGTAATTGAAGGACATCAAGGTGTTGCTCCGCCAGTTGAAAAAAAAATTTAAGGTAGGCTCACTCTTAGAATTTAGCAAAAGAGAAATTGGTGACACGGGTCACAGGTCCTGAGGAGAAGATGTGCCTGCCTCTGAGTGATGATAATACACCAGAACGTCGTCCTCGAGATGTTTCACGTCATCAGCTTATCTGTAGGGAATGCTCTTCAGGCGGAAATCGCAAAACCACCGTGGAGGATTGTGGAGACATTGATGAAGGTAGTTATGTGTGCAATTCATTATGAAAACGCGATGGGTTATGAGCGCATAATTTATGCCCTTAATTAGGAGCTCATTAACACTTAGATAAATCACAACACTTACAGCCAAGTATAGACACTTGAGTGCGGTGCGCAGTGCTGTAAAACGACATCGTCTCCTAAGTTAAACACTTGTATTTTGAGTTAGAAATTATGAGTATTGACGGTCAGGATTAATGTTCTCTGTGGATTTGAGAGACAGTCTTGAAAATTATTTTTGAAAGTTTCTACTCAAAATGGAAAATATATTGGGGGTAAATGTAATTTATTATAACCTACAAATCCCTTTGAACTAGTTATATATATAATCTAGATTTTTACGTCGCTTTTTCCGTTTTACGGTGTTGATTTTGGACTTAAGCCCACAGGCAAATAGTAAATATAAGTTTTATGCTTAATTTCAATCCTAAAAGGAGAGGCCAGTATACACAGAACACTTGAATCATCCATGGAATATAAAATTTATTCAAAAACCATAACTGTGCAATTAGTTCCATAAATAAAGAACATTTTGAAAGGATTGTGGTAGTTTTGCCATAATAAAGACCATGAATTTACAAAAAGTCGGCAATTTTCGGCTGGTTTGGCCTTGACAATGGGATCGACGGGTTATACGTTTTTGTGTGCCATACCAAGATCTGAAACAAAGCAATACTTGACCATAGTAAAAGTGATCACCAACAGACCATAATTTTTGCATATAGAAGTTATGTTGATTTTTTGCTTAAACTGCTCACCAAAATAATGACGGCATTACTTTTTATGTAAGCGCAAACTGCACTTCTAATGCTCAAAAGCTTAACGCTGATTGAGATCAGTATTTTGAAATCGTCGACATCCACTTTGACAACGGGTAAAGCAATGTGCATCCTTTTAGGGGTCATAATGGTCTGCCTTCCCCATAAGACGAGACAGCATAACTTGTCTGACGGAGCATGACCCAGTCAATTATAGCACTGTAAATGACTTGATATTCGTTAATCAATACTTAGCTCTTCAATATTCACTGTTACCATGCAGATCAATAAATTAATTCTAAAACACCTCAAGTTCGTGTTTTTAAAAAGCCTCCTTTATTGACAGAAAATCAAATAAGACGAAAAATCAATGCTAAAAAGTTTGCACACAATAATTTAAGCTTATGAAGCCTTTCTTAAATTTGCGTCCATTGATGATCATTTTGTCGACTTTAAATTGCTCAACCAATTTACACCACAAAGTGTAACCAAATTTAAGCCCTGAAACGCTTAATACACCTAAACAAGTCACCCACGGTGTCAAAGTCTAAAAGATATGTGAGAAATCAATTCATGAACAATGTTCCATGTGCGATAAATGACATGGTTCAGACCCTGTAATTTAAAACCTGTAATTCAGAAGGTAGTTACAGTACACTGAATTTAGTCCAAATAACATCCAAAAACCAGCTGCTGAATGTTGACAAGAGCCTTTAAGACGGAAACTTGATGGCATTTAAAACAAATTTATGCATCATTTCGATTGATGGTCAATGCTAATGCAGTGTCCAAATAACTAGTTTAACTTAAATCAGTTATTACATTACTGGCATCGACAGTGCAGTGCATCGAATGAACATTATTGTCTACTTCTTTGATCCCTCAAATCACCACGATTTGTGTGACAATCGTACATCGTTGGTTTAAGTAATCGTTATTTTTACTTTAATAAAAGGCTGAAAACATGTTACTTACTTTAAAAGAATACTCAGATAGAGTTTTATGAAAATAGACTCAAACTAAGAAAACTTAACACGAATAGATTTTAATGGCTACCAACGATTGGGTTAAGCAGCAACTACTTACCTAATGCCACATAGCACCCGCATGCAAAGACGCAGCATCACCTCAAAGATGCAATACAAAGTTCACATAGCACTGTTAACCTATGAGATTTTGCCTCAGTTTTCAGCCTATTATTAATAACTGCTATTAGACGCAAGTACAGTGCCGTTCATTCGCTTTTGCACACGCATAACCTCGACATTTCCTTCGTTATTTAAACACGCAGTTTTTAGACTTGATCACAACCACATGCTGCATACACGTCACAGAAATCGAAAATTGTTTGTGCTAATAAAAGGTTCTTTGGATTTGGCTTTTGTAACTTAATCTTGTTCACGAATCCACAACATTTGGCTCCAAGTGTGTGACTGACTTGTCCCTGCCAAATGTATGTATGTACATATGTGTTGGAACTTGCCGAGACTTCGACTCGCAAATGTATTTCTCAATTACAAGGTTATGGGTTTTGGCGCTTACAAGCTCCGTATGTTTGTTTAATGATTCATGAAAACAGTTCGCATGATGGCACTTGATGCCAATAGATGATGCAGAATTGTAACAGTTTATTGAGGAGTGGCGACTTTTGATATATTTTGCCCGATCACGCTCAGTCTGTCTGAGCATTTTACAAGCAGTAATGATTTAGACAATGTCATTATAGTCTAGAAAAGTAAAACAGAATCTCCAGTAATTTGCATTAAATGTAATTTCCTTGAGTAGATTAGATGGCCTAAATGAACTTCTGGGGAAGGACAGAAATTAGACAGAAATTGCGCATATTAACCAATCTCTTTTGGCCGGTGGGATACCTGCTTATTTCGCACATATTAAAAAGAACAATTTGAATTGAAAAATAAGTAAGGTCAAGTTATCAGATGTAAGAACATGCTTAAGGATGCTGCGTCAAAGATACACTTCGTTTCAAAACCCTTGATATGTAACTTCTCTACTCTTGAATGACACGCGGAGTGCGCGTGTGTAAGATGGCTTTGCTAGTAGACTGGTGCACCATTCAAGTTGAAGTGATACACAAAAATGAGCTCCCCTTGAAAAAATCCTTCTAAAACCAACCTTTGAACATCCCTCCGCTCGAGGCTCCAAGTCCATAGCCGATTTGAATCCAAGCTGTGAAAGCAGCGCCCCTTCTTGTTGTTCCACGTGTTTATAATCAAACGACGCATTTGGATAAATGAAGAGGAGATCGAGATTGATTGCAAAAGCAGCCATGTCGATTGGAAACCTCCGAAAGGGCTTGTAGCCCGTCCAAAATCCTATTATGCGATTAGGGTCGTCAGGTGCTGTGATGCAGCCCTCCCAACTGCTGCCACCCACAATACCCACCGGCCAGGTGGCACCCATATTTAGAGTTCGCATCTGCCAAAAGCACGGAAATACACCATTAAATTGGAGTGTGATCGCAAAATTTGCATAGGTAAGATTCAATTTAAATTGGTGAACTATCATCATTCATTGCTCCAAACAATGCGTCATCGATTAAACTCCTTCGGAATCATAATGTTTTCTGTATCAATCCACTGATTGGATAGGAAGTTGCCCAAACACAGATTGGATGGATTTTAGGGCATTTTTCTGAGGTTAAGAAATTTTGCCTGAGCAAAATGCAATAAAAAGTGGAGTCTATTTTGGCTTAAACACTGTGATATTTCTCTGATTTATGTAGTCCAAGCTACTTAAACCTTACAATTGTATTAAGTGGTTTTAAATCAAAGAGTTATTCCTGTCCCCTCACAGTGGACTGTTATCTTCGAATTTAAGAATGTAAAATGACCGACGAACACCATTGATAGCAGAAAAACCTGTTAATACTAAGATGGCATGGTTTTGTCTTTTGACGAGATGGATTCTTAAAGTAGTTCAGTGAGAAGATCGAGCTTATGTGTTATTTGCAGTCAACCAGGGCCATATTCGATTGCAACGCGTTCTATGGAATAGTGCCGATGGCACTAGAATCAGACCAATGGAACTTTAGTGTGACATTTTATCAACACTCACAAATGATGGTAGTAGGATAGCAAAACCAAAATAAAAGGTCCAAAGGTGAGCAATCAGGTTCCTATTTAAGTGAACAACAACTTGGTGCCTTTCAAAACCAGCCAGATTAACAACCGGCAAAAGCCAGTGCTGCAGGTCTAGTGTCATTAATATGCACGGATTTATTATTCGACAAAACAATTTTTATCCTTCGATATTCTTTAAAAACTATGTCTCGTCGAAATTTTTTAAATTTTGTTTGCGACATTGTAGAATGTGTGATGCAAAAACTACCAATCTCCGGTGTGTTTTTGCAGATATTTCCTCCACTATGTGCGCCAGGGAATAAAACTGGATGAACATTTTAGGGATGCAATTGTTTTTACTCAAGTTCCTCATTTTACATGTCCTAATATGAATAAAAAATGGTTTCACGTGTTTTCCTTTAAAAAAGGTGATTCTTTTACAAGATTTTCGGATTCATTATCATCAAATGGTGACAGGTCATTTTGAAAACTTTCGCGATGCTGCTTACGCTGATGACCAGTCACTTCCACCTTGATCTAACGAGGGGCTAAATTTGAGTATAGTGGTAGCTAAGCAGCCAAACCGCAAACATCCAACTCGAATATTCGAAGCAACCTATTGTTATGTTTGCTAGCAAAGATATCGACACACACAAATGTGCTATCAAACATCGCAAATGCAAGGTTTGCCACTAAGCAAGTGTTTTATGTAAACAAACTGACAAACAGCAAGCTGCCTAACTTACAAGCAACGATCTGTTATTCCTTAAACAATAGTAAATTTAGGAAGCATTTCAATTAACATTATGCATTTCTAGAGTATGCCTGCTCTACACATTCTCAATGAAAATATTAATATCATGTTTCCAAGGCAAAGTAGCATTTCTAACATTTCAACCATGTTGAAAAAGAAGGACATTTAGGCACTTACTTCGTTAAAAAGCCGGGGATCATAAGTGTTGTCGTCATCAGCAAAATATACAACACCTTTGTGGTATCTACTGACACGGTGTTTACGCAACCACTCTATGCCAGCGTTTCTTTGATTGCTTCCTTTAATATGATATTTTTTTCTATCCTTTGGAGATGCAGCATTAAGATGAGTGGATGGTACACTGCATTCATTAAGAAATCTTGAAACCAGTCTAAAACAAAAAAGGTAATCGGTTGCACAGGCAGACACTATTCATAGGAACGGTGTAGATGTGAAATAAGTCCAAGGTATTGCAGCACCTAGGCAAAGTATGAGTCAAAGTTTGCACATCAAGTCTTCGCTCAATATATGACGCATTGTTACTTTAGGTATATGTTACCAATGCTGATAAACATAAATACATAGTATTTCCGACTGATCACTTTCTCAAAGCAAGTAGGAATGACTTGCGACCAAAAGGTCAATTGTGACAACAAAAGCCTACTAAGTAGCAAGAAGGATCTTTTTGTTGATGTCAGAGAATAGAAATTAATATTTTTGTACAGATGAGAAATGTATTATTCTGACTGCAATCAGCTTCTTCAAAGAGTTGACTACATATGACCATGTTTACGAAATTTCATTTACCATGAAGTACTAGTTAAGCGCACAGCATTTTATTCATTTAAATTCACAAATTAGTATAAAGTAGTAGGGGTTTAGAAGCCCAAGCAAACAAACTGGGAATTATGGAATGTGCAGCAGGGAGAATGGAGAAGCAATATGATGTAAGATATCAGCCTGATTAAAATATAACAATTAAAACAGTAGTCACTAAAATTAATTGTAAAAGATAATCTATATGCACAATTCATTGGATTTCTCATCAGATTCGTCTTTAAGGTGTCACGTGAAAAAAAGGCAAAAACCAGATTCTAAAACGAACAAGTCATTTAATAAACAACGTTTTAGTCAGTAGTCATTGACACTTGTTAAAATACTATCTATTGTTATATGACGAACTGAAGTTGGATAGCTTTAGAGGTTTTTTAAGGACGATCCTAAAAACTAAAATTCACAAAACATGAGAAAATCCTAGGATACGAATGCGAAAAGTTAAAAGACAAAAAAGACAAAAAAACGATTATTATGTTCTTCATATACCCAAAAAATGATACTCACGCTGTCCTCACTAAAGAGTCTTCAACTACAATCCAGTGCATGTTATCGACCAGTTTAAACGTATTGCAGAGACGAACAAGATCGGGCTTTTGGGAAATCCGGTAAAAGGTGGGAGTAATAACATAGATAGTTACAGCACTAATAGACTTTTGACACAAATCTATTAACACAATGCCAAAAATCACGCACAAAAAAATTAAAGAAAGTTTCTTCTTTGCTCTGAGCATTTTTCAAACTGAGGCCTAGTTACAAGTTTACATTATTAGTAACTTTAAACAAAAAAAATTATTTTTTTAAAATAATTTTTGTTGATGCAAAAACCAGTATACTTTATTTTACAGTTCTTACGTACGTAACCACATCTAAATTTTAACTGTAAAGAATAAGAATACTTACGTTGAAAATTCAAGAGAAAGAGGTAAATATACATGGGCCAGTTTTAATTTTTGCTTATGACTTGTTTCCTATAAATTTTAACAAATCCCCAAAATTAAATCATCAGAATATGTGACTTCGGTAGATCATGATATTTCCACAAATTCCACATGTTGATTAATTAGGATTTTTGGACTTATAAAATAAACTGGAGCACCCTTTCTAGAAATATATTAACGCTTTACTTTAACGTTCCAAATAGCGTTTTGGACAAAACCTGAAATTGACCAACTTTGTAAAAAACCTTTGTGAAATCAACTTTTTGTGTTTTTGAGATATCCCCATCTTCAGGCAATATGGAATTATGTAGTTCTTCTGGAGTTATTAAACGAGTAATGAGGGAGTACAATTGTTCGTTGCGAAAAAAAACCTTTTATGATACAGTCAATATTGTTGGTCATCTCTCTGAGCATGTTTACTAAGAATACACATGTCATAAAATGTCGTTCCGATAGTCAGAGATATTTACGGTTCTGTTGTGCGTTGCTATTCTCACCATTGCTCCATGCGAAATGTGGCATTTGGTCAGAGGAAGAAACGGCTAGTTACGACACATTCAAAAATAAACCATTTTTTGGAACTGATCTAATTTAGAAAAATCTGTGACACTGTTATTG